ATCCCGTCTTCTCCAGCAGATCGCTCCCTCCATCATTCCCATCCTTTCACTAGTCTTTAACCTCTACTTGTCAACTGGCTGCTTTCCCACTGTCTACAAACATGCCCATGTCTCTCCCATCCTTAAAAAAAACCTCCATTTGATCTGTCAATCCCCACCAGCTATCATCCAGTATCTCTTCCATAAATTTCTTCCATGAAATCCACAATGCCTCCACTTACTTTCTTCTTAACTCTCCGTAGTCTGGCTTCTGACTTCATCATTCAGCAGAAACTGCTCTCTCCAAAGTTGCTGATGATGTTTTAATTGCCAAATCTAACAGCCTTTCTCATTTAGCATCCTTCTGACATCTCTGTAGCCTTTGGCATTATTCACTCCTTATTGAAACACTTCTCTTTAGGTTTTTGTGACCCTGATCTTGCCTGGAACTTCTGCTCTCTGTCACTCTGCTCTTTCTCAGTATCCTTTGCTGGATCTTCACCCAAATCACACAGACTAAGCACAGGTGTCCCCTAAGGCTCTATCTTGGGCTATCTTTCATTCTCCCTCTGTACTATTTTGCCCAGTGATCTATCAACTCTTTGCCTGATTCTGATATGAGATAGCATAGGAAAATCAAAAGTTTTGATTAAAAAAAAAGAATTCTAGAAGGGAAAAACACTTACATAGTACCTATAAAGTGACAGGCATTGTGCTAATCTATTTACAAATATTGCCTATTCATGACAACCCTGTGAGGTAGGTGCCTTTATTAATAAATTTTACAATTGAACTGAAGATAATGAGTTAAGTGACTTGCCCGGGGTTACACAATTAGTAAGTGTCTGAGGCCGAATTTGAACTCAGGTCTTCCTGACTCCAGGCTCAGCACTTTGTCCTCTGTACCACCTGGCTTGTCTCTAGGCTGAAGAGATCCATAATCATCCATGAATCCATTTGAAGTCTCTGGATTTTGCTATAAAAGGGAAAATAGACTACTGCAAATCCAGCAAGTCCAAGAAAAGAGATCCAAATAACCCACGATATGGGAGTCAAATACGTGTGTCTCTCATCCCACAAGAATATTCCACTCCAAGACTGTCTAGGACCTTTTCTTTTCCCCCTCTATACTATTACAATTAGAAATCTCAGCAACCTCCATAGATTCAATTTTTATCTCTATGCTGGTGATTCTCAGATCCTCAGAGATCCCAGATTTCTCTCCTAACTGCCAGTCTTGCATTGCCAAACCTATTAAACATCTCAAACTGGATATCACATAGGCATCTTAAAAACTCAACATGTCCAAAATGGAACTCATTATCTTTGCCCATCCTCCAAACCCTCCCTCCTTCCTCACTTTCTTATTATTGTCAAGGGTACCACCATCCCACTATGCACTCTCTCATCCCCTATATCCAACTTACTGGCAAGTCCTGTTGATTCTATCTTCGTAACATCTCTTGTATATGCCCCTTCTCTCCTGGGACGCTGCCACCGCTTTGGTGCAGGCATGAATCTCATGAGGCACCTCAAGTCTCAACTACTTCAAATAGCCTGCTAATTGGTGTCCTTGTCACAAGCCTCTCCTCACTCCAGTCTTCTCAGTTTCCTAAGTGGTCTTCCTAAAATGCAGGTTATTGAATACCTTCTCCTCTCAGGTTGATTCTGCAGTCATCTTTCCAGTTTTCCTCTGCCATGTAGGTCTAGAACCACTTGCACAGATGAGAAGAGTGGTTCTGGTGGGGATAGGGCTAGGGTAGGTTGGGGCTAAATTCTTCTACACAGGATGGATTTCAAGTGTTTCACTCTTTGTTGAATCATTTGGAAGGGTGTGTTGCCTCTCTCTCTCTCTCTCTCTCTCTCTCACACACACACACACACTCAATAAACTCTAGTCACTCCTTATTACCTCCAGGATCAAATATAAAATCCTCTATTTGGCTTTTAAAGTCCTTCATAACCTGGCCCCTTCCAACTTTTCCATTCTTCTTACACCTTGTTGTTGTTCAGTCATTTTTCATTCACGTCCAAGTCTTTGTGACCCCATCTGGGGTTTTTTCAGCAAAGATATTGGAGCGGTTTGACATTTCCTTCTCTAGCTCATGGTAACAGATAAAGAAACTAAGGTAAACACAATTAAGTAGCTTGCCCAGGGTGACACAGCTAGTAATTATCTGGGGTCAGATTTGAACTCAGGAAGATGAGTCTTCCTGATTTCAGGTCTGGCACTATGTGTGCCACCTAGCTGCCCCTTACACCTTACTCTCACCCATGTACTCTATAAGCCAATGTCACTGGTATCCTTACTGTTCCTCACACAAGGCATTCCATCTCCTGACTCTGTTCATTTCCACTAGTTGTTTTCGGTCCTTTGAATGCTCTCCCTTCCTCATCGCTATCTCCTGGCTTCCCTGACTTCCTTCAGGTCCCTGTTAAAATTCCACTTTCTGCAAGAGGACTTTCCTGATCCCTTAACACTAGTGCATTCCCTCTAAGATTATCTCAAATTTATCCTGTATAATTTTTTTTTATTGAGAGTTGTTTGCATGTTGTCTCTTCCATTAGTCGGTGAGCCCCTTGAGAGCATGGATTGTTATTTATGTCTTTCTTTGTATCCTCAATGCTTGGCACAGTGCCTGGCACACAGCAGGTGTTTAAGAAATGCTTGTTGACTGGTTGATTTGCAAACTACAAAGATGAAGTGACACACTGAAGGTCAAAAAATCATGTTTTGAACCCAGATATTGGGATTCTAAATCCAATGCTCTTTCCAAGGCAACATACCCCATCCAGATGATTCAACAAAGAGTAAAACACTTGAAATCCATCCTGTGTAGAAGAATTTAGCCCCAACCTACCCTAGCCCTATCCCCACCAGAACCACTCTTCTCATCTGTGCAAGTGGTTCTAGAGCTACATGGCACAGGAAAACTGGAAAGATGACTGCAGAATCAACCTGAGAGGAGAAGGTATTCAATAATTATTTATTCTAGAAGATTGCCTATGACACCATTTCCTGTGCTCCAGGGAACCCTGTGGTTTGCATGATAGAAACAGGGATTCCTTGAAAAAAAATATTGATAGTAGCAGTATTTTTCCTACTAAAATATGAAGTCATATATAAATCAAAAATATATGGTAATTTTAGTCTAAAAATTGACTTAATTTATTTTATTTTGCTACCAGATTTTCTTGAAGACATTTCCCTTTTCCGGGAGGTTTTTCAGTCCCCTAGAATTCTCCCAAAGGGCAGTTATAATTCTTTAATATATTTCAAGCCTAAAAGCGTACTATGGTCCAACTAAAAGTTTGGGAAACATTAGCCTAGAGATCTCTTTTTGAACTGCTCCCATTTTTCATACCTCATAGCTTCTGGTTACTAGAAATCCTTTCTACCTCACAACCATTCTTATTATAAGCTTGAGCCCACTGATATGTACAAAATGAGAATGTGGACCCCTTGTAGAGTGAATGTTTTGTACTGACTGTTCTCACTATACCCATTTTGCCACAAGTTAATTGAGGCTACTGGAAAATTATCAATCAAATAATTTAGTGGGGGGTACAGTTCATAAGCAATAATATTTCAAAACCCAGTCCTTCAGTGTTATCCCTAGGACCATAAAAGAGAATAGGTAAGATGTCATCTACCCTTTGGTAAACCATCTGACAATTTGAGTGGAAGCTGAAGACGTAGCCCCAGAAGGAGTGCTACATGTGAAAAGAACTTCAGTGTTATACAAATGTGACCTAGTAATATTATTTTTCCAACGAACATTGATAACATTTCTTCAGTTTGAATATTTTGGGTGTTAGAAAGTGTATAATCACTTAGCACAGTGCCTGGTACATAGTAGGTGCTTAACATCAATTGATTGATTTAAAAATAATTTATGAGGGTTTAAAGTGTGTTTTAAGAAGCTAGAAGTTGATATATGTATCAACTACTAAGATATGTTTCAGCTAAGGAAAAAAATCTCCCTTTTCAGTGGAGGAAGCTATTTGGAAGTGAATGCCATGTAACATCCTCATTCATTCAATATACATTTCTTAAGTTTCTGTGATTTGCAATGTACACCAGTGGTAGGCACTGGAGGAGAAATGAGGATAAATGAACACAATCTCTACCAACGAAGTTCAGTTGTTGCTCAGTTGTATTTGACTCTTTGTGACCCCATTTGGGATTTTCTTGGCAAAGGTACTAGAGGTTACACAGCCAGTAAGTGTCTGAGGCTAGATTTGAACTCAGAAGATGAGTCTTCCTGACTCTAGGCCCTGCACTGTCCACTGAGCCACCTAGCTGCCCCTACTAATGAAGTACTTATAGCCTGATGGGGGAGACAAGACAACTACACAAATAAATATAATTCATTATATTTATTGTTGTTGTTCAGTTGTATTCGACTCTTTGTGACCCCATTTGGGATTTTCTTGGCAAAGATACTGGAGTGGTTTGCCATTTCTTTCTCCAGTTCATTTTATAGATGATAATCACATTGAAAGATGAGAAGGCCAAAGGCAAAACTTTGGCAAATATCTAAGTTTTAGGGGAAGGAGTAGCAAGAGAAATCATGGAAAGTAACAGAAGACAGCTCCCTCTTGACTTGAGGAAGAGAACAAAAGTCCAACTTGAATCAGCTCCAGGCTTCCTGTACAGAGAAGGCTGATCACTACCCATTAGTAGTGTGATATACCTTCATTCTCTTTCAATTCTACATTCAGCATGACAGTACAACTTGTGGCATCTCTGCCCCTTTGACAATAAATATTTGTTAATAAGTCATGTGATAAGTTTTTGTGGTAGTAGTTTCACATTAACAAGATCTTTGAAAGATCTATGGATTCTCCTTTCTTCAGATTAATAAATGAATTTCTCATAGATTGTGAACTCTGAGGAGGCCACCAACATTAATTTAGAAGCCAGAAGTAAATACAGTTTGGAGAAGATAGTCTTAGTGAAACAAAATATATTTCCATGAATAACCAAAGGTTCAAGATTTTTAAAGTAGTATACTCACTTGATTTATATGAAAGTGAGCACATTCATGAAACAGCACTTCCATCAGGTTTTACCCCCATTACCTAAACAAAAGAAGCAATGAAAAAAAAGAATAACTTTGCAATTTATTACCAATGCTATCATTATTAGAAAAATTACACTTTAGCATGTGTGTTTGTATGTAATCTGACCATGTGAACTTTTCCACATGTGTCTATGCTTAGGCCAAATTACAAAATCTTAAAGTTGGAAGGGACCTCAGAGATAATCTAGCCCAACCTTAGTTTCATAGTTTCATCTAGTAATGCTGCTATTGTTTTTTCAAAAACTTTCCCTGTGATTCTACTCTTTTTTTTTAAAGGGAGAGGAAAAGGAAGAGAAAAGATAGATATAGTAGCCAAAGGAGATGGGCGGGGGAGGTCATTGAGACATTTTTTTCAAAATTCAGAGGAGAGAATGGAAGGTCAGAAAGGAGCACCAACAAGCAGAACAGCTTCAAAAGTTGCACACTAAATGTATTATACATTGTAAAAAGAAAAACCATGTTTCATGTATACTCCCCTTTTTCTTTTCTCTTCTATATGAGGAAATGCTCACTTTATTTGGTATTTGCTAAATGCAGAATAAAAAGAAAATAAAATTTTAAAACTCTCCCTGACATTCAAACCAGAAAATAGAATGAAATGTTTCATCTATGAAAGTGAAACTATTGTGCCATATCAATTGGGAATAAATTTATGAGGAGAGTGTGTGTTGTCTAGGAATGGTGAAAACTTTGAAACAATCAAAAATTGGAAAATATCAGAGTCAGTAGAGCTCTCTGACTCCAATTTGCCCAACCTTTTCTGGAAGCACAGATCTCCTCTACAACATGCCAGGGAAGTGATAACTCAGCCTCTGGTCAAACACCTCCAGAGACAAGGAGCTCACTAACTACTAAGGCAGTCTATTCCATGGTTGAACATCCTGAGTCATATGGCCTTAGTTCTACCAAGCTGAACGAATCTAGGTAGGACAGAGGAGGAGAAGGAGGATGAGGATGAGGAGGACAAGAAGGAGGAAGAAGAAGAGGAGGAATCTGAGGAATAGATCAAAGGTCTGGCACGAAGGCACCAGTATACCAGTCCTTTATCAGAGATGCTCTCACTTCCAAAAGCAGAGTAGCTAATAACATCTTGACTTGCCTGAGTGATAATTTCATCCTTCAAAAGGTGGAGGAACCAGGAGGAAATTCTATTCTGGATCTGATTCTCACTATCAGGGAGGAACTGTGTGCTGGAATAAAAGTGATAGGAACTGAAGGCTGCTGGATGGTGCACTTAATAGAGCACCACCCTGGAGTCAGCAGGACCTGAGTTCAAATCTGACCTCAGACACATAACACTCACTAGCTGTGTGACTCTGGGCAAGTCACTTAACCCCAACTGCCTCACAAAAAAGTGATAGGAACCTGGAGGGCAAAGTGACCATTCCCACCTAAAATCTGTGATAGAACAGAGAAGATTTGAGCTATTGTAACATGTACCCTAAATTTAGAGAAGGCAGATTTCAAAGGGTTCAAAGGAATGATAGATTGAATCCCAAGGGCATCAAGGGAAGTTAGTTCAGAAGGAATAGGAAATTCTCAAGAATAAAATTTGGAAGACAAAAAGGGAAACAATTTCAAAAGAAGGGGGGAAATGGGGTTTGTATGAAGAAATCATTGTGGATGCAAAAAGAACTCACCATTTACAAAAAGAAATGCACAGAGAAACTGGAAGGTAACAGAACACAAATAAAAGCATGTGTAAAAAGAGTGTGAGGAGTGGTCAGGGCAGAGGCCAGTAAGAGAAGCTAAAGGCAACAGTTTTGTTTTTTTTTTTTATATTGGAAGTAAAAAGAAAATCAAAGAAATTATAGAAATGTTGTTTATGGTGGATGGGACAATGATAGCTGACTACATGGGAAGGGGAAGGAAATAAGCATTTATGAAATGCCTGCTGCTAAGCAGTGTTTTACACTGGAATTAGCAGAATAAAAATGATTATGAAGAGCTGATACCCAAGATAAGCAAAGAGAAAACATGAAAGAACTTAGCAGCCTTTCATGAATCCTATTCACATGCCCCAGATGAAATACATCCTCAAGTACTGAAAGAATTGTCAGTGATTGCTAAGCTATTGTCAGTGATATTAGAAAGATCATTAAAAACAATCGAGGTACTATAAGACTGGAGGACAAACGTCCTGGTTTCCAAAAGAGGAAAGAGAACAGAGTCTATAAACTATAGGTCAGTGAACCTGACTTCAACTACTGAGGAAAGTCTAGAATTGATCATTAAAGAGATAGTTGGGACTAATATGGAAATGTTTTATGTAATTGCACATGTATAACCTATATCTGATTGCTTACTGTCTTGGGGGGGAGGATTAAATATAGAACTCAAAACTTCAAATAAAAAAGTTAAAATTGGAAAAAAGAGAGAAGGAAGGAAGAGAAGGAAGGAAAGAAGGAAGGGAGGAAGGAGGAAAAGTGGGTCACCAAAGTATCTTTTTGAAACATGTGGAGAAAAGAACAGAAGGAAAGTCAGAAAGAAACACAAACAGGACACCTTTGAAAGCTATAGATTGAACTTACATACTTTCTTTTTTTAAAAAAAAAAGTCTACTGTGCATAATTTAGATATGCAGTTTCATATACAATCCTCTTTTTCTGTTCTATTATGTAAATAGAAATGTCAGTTTTATTTGGAATTTGCTAAGTTCACAATAAAAGAAAAGAAAAATTGTTGAGAGAAAGAGAGGGAGGGAGAGAGAGAGAGAGAGAGAGAGAGAGAGAGAGAGAGAGAGAGAGAGAGAGAGAGAGAGAGTTGGAGAATAGCTAGAAAGGAAAGCAATGATTACATAGAGCCAGAGTACACCAAGAATAGGTCATGCCAGACTGCTATAATTTCCTTTCCTTTTTCACAGGATTGCTACACTAATGATGATGGGAATGATGTGGATATGATTTACTCAGATTTTAACAAAAGTATTAATAAAGTATATCACACTATTCTTAGGAGAACATAGGAGAGATGTGGATTAGACATTACATTCAGATGGATTCTGTTTGGATAGCTAGACACAAAGAGTAATTGTTAATAGTTCAATGATAGCATAATAGAAGCTTTCCAGTAGAGTATTTCAGGGTTCTGTATTTGGTCATACGTCATACAACATTTTTTATCAGTGACTTGGATAAAGGCATAAATGGCAGGTTCATCAAATTTGTAGATGATACAAAACTGGGACAGATGACTAACACAAGTGGATGACAGAATCAGTACCCAAAATGATCTTGATAGGCTAAAGCATTGGATGGATCTAATAAGATGAAACTCAATAGGGATATTGCACATGGATACAATAAACATCAATGTCACAAATATAAAAAGGTGGAGGCATGGACAGAAAGCAATTGTTATGTAAAAATTTGTAGGTTTTAGTGGACTACAAATTCAATATGAGTCTATAGTATAATGTGACAATCAAAACAGCTAACGCAGGCTTAAGCTACATGAAGAGGGAAATAACTTCCAATAACAGGGAGGTGATGTATCGTTCCACAGTATTCTGACCTTAACAAGCCTGGAGTATTATGTCCAGTTCTAGGTACTATGATTTAGGAAGGCTATTAAAAGTGTCTAGAGGAAGGCAACCATGATGATTAATAACCTTGGGTTCAAGACATGAGGATTAGTTGAACAAACTGGGCACATTTTCTAACACTTAGAGCTGTCCCTAAAAGACAGTGGGGATACCCTCCTTGTAGGTATTCAAGTAGAGGCTACGAGGCAACTTTATAGTTAGGATTCCTTTTGAATATGGATTGGACTAGATGGCCACTAAGGTCCCTTTCAACTCTCAAATTCTGTGATTCTGTAAAATATAATCCTTCTTCTACCTGACAGCCCTTCACATACTTCATAGAATCCTGGGATCACAGCATTAGAGGTAAAGTGACCTTAGAAATCATCTAATCCAAATTACTATGTTTACTGATGAGGAAACTGAAGTCCAGAGAGTTTAAGCAAGTTGAGATTATCATCCCCTTAAGTCTTGTCTTCTCCAGGCTAGCTAAACATCACCAATTTCTTTAAGAATGATTTCCTAATAACTTGACTTCCAATCTACTCACACCCCACCCCACTCCCCATCATCCTCTTTGTGGTATGCTCCAAATCATCAAAATCCCTACAAAAAATATACTCAGAACTAAACAAAATATTCTAGCCATCTAGAATGCTCTGACCAAGGCAGAGGGGAGAAGAACCACCACTTACTTTCTTTTTGGCAATATAATTCTATTAAGAACACTATATTGCTCTCTATATCCATATATTTTGGTCCAATTCCTCTTGTGTGGCATATACTTGCAAGATGGTTATCCAGGATTAAGGCCAGTCTTTGGACACAGAACAAAGCTAACTCACCTACAAAGAAACAAAATCTATGATTTTGCCCTCATTAATATCATTAAAAGACACCATGAAACAATAACAATAAGGATAAATCTCAACTTATAATATGAAAACTAAATCTAGCACATTTAAAATTTTACTGCAGGAAACCTAGTGTTTTTTTTTAATTAATCAAATTGGTTTTTCTAGACTTTCTCATGGTATTCATAAAAAATGCAGTTTTGATATGTTAGGGCTTTTTTTTTGACTCAGCAGGTATTTCAATTAATACATGAAATTATAAAGGTCTTTTGAATGTACTCTGAGTGCTCTCAATGGGTTTGCCCTGACCCTAATGAAAATAACATATCAGATTCAGAACACTATTATTTGGTTGGCCAAAAACAAGCAATTGCCAAATTGGGCATTTTTTTTCCCTGGGGGGGGGGGGCACAGAAGCACTATTGGAAAGATTTGACTATTATGGCATTTAAGGAATTGTTTGTTTGAAGACACTCTTGAAACATCAATATTAGATTTTAATACAACTAAAACCTTTAAACAAGCTTGAATGTTAAACAGGAAAAATCCAAACACAGCTAAGTACCCAGTTTCACCTACCTACCGTACTCGTGTCCTCCCTCTAAAACATGAACCAACTAA